CCTGTGAAGTCTGTGCTAAATCTTGGTAATAGCATCAGAATTTTATTATAAGGGCTTTTGAATATTTTAGTAGATTTTCAAAATTAAATTATTAAGAAAAAATTAGAGACACATTTCTACACTTAAACTCTCTGGAGCACCACTGCTTCATTACAACGTCCATGAAAGTGTTAAATATGGATACGACAGAAGTACTGAGCTCCTTTAAAGGAAATAATTGACATTACATAGCTGCTGCAAGAAGAAAAGATTAAATTAAGAGACTGTATTTGCAACTGTTAAACAGAAAAAAAAGAGCAGAGGAAAAAATTTTTTAAAGGGGAGATCAAACTTCTTATAAACTTCAAAAAAGAGTTTTAGTGGTATACAGTAAATAGAAAATAATAAATAAGAGAAGTTGATACCAAGATTCTTTAGAATATTACATAAATTTGAGAGAAGTTAAAGCACAATTCACTGGAAGAACGCCAGTTATATTTTTAAAAATCTGGTAAATGGTCCTGAATAGAGCTGGAATCCATTCTACCAAGTATCACAAGAATGGAAAACCAAGCATCATGTGTACTTACCATCCAATTGGTATTAACTGATCAACACTTATGTGCACATATGGTAGTAACATTCACTGGGTGTCTGGCAGGTGGGGGGGGGAGAAGGGGATGGGTAAATTCATAACTAATGGGTATGGTGCACACTGTCTTGGGGATGGACATGCTTGAAGCTCTGACTTCGGTGGGGCAAAGGCAATATATGTAACCTAAACATTTGCACCCCTGCAATATGCTGAAATTAAAAAAAAATAAAATAAATACTAAAGCTAAATGGCTATGGTGAGATATCATGAGAAATTTCACTGACTTATAAATGCATGCAGAATTTTGAAATTAATTTGATGTTAATGTGACCCACCTAAAATATATAATACTGTTTTTTCCCCATTTTAGAGATTACAAATTTCTTAAAAATGCAACCAAGTCAATTACTCTATTCACACAGCTAATTATTTTAGTAATGCAAGCAAATTGGCATAGAGTATATTGATTTTTATGACACAGTTTAGTTTGACTTAAGAAGCTATATTTGAAGCATCATATACCCTTTGTGTAAGTATATTTCAGATGTTTGTTTCTCTAGGTGGAAACGTTATATTTTAGAGAACAGGTTTTAATTCAGAAGAGAAGGATATTCATTTGTTATACAATCACAACTAGTGAAAAGTGGAAAAATTTAGAGGAAGATGAATCACTAAAAGTCCCATCAAATTCTGTTAAAGTTCCTTTCAGAGACTCACCACACATGACAAAGAAGCATGGAGCTCTTTTTACCAAAACAGTCAGTATTCAGGTGTCAGTTGTCTGTGCTAAAGCACCTGTCACTTACAGAAGTCTGTAATCATCCTGGTGTGAGGTGGGAGTGCAGTGAAGTGATCTGAGTAAAGGAGAATGTCAGCATGACTCAGACGACCACCGCTGCTGTCTGTAAGAGCCTCCACTACCTCTTTCTGGATGAGAGACTTTGGAGTGTGAAACCAGAAAGCAGTACTTCATTGGTTCATTAATCTTTCTGACAAACTCTTATTCATCATTTAAGGCCCAAAAGCCACATTGGAAGAATTAATCACTCCATTATCTGGTTCCTGTAGCTTTGTAAGTGATATTCTGATGTGAACATGCATCTACTTACATAGTTTGCTCTTCCAAAATATCTTGCCTAACCAGAATTTTGCATGCTGATCTTATTTATGTGTGTATGAGTTTGTGTGATGGTTGATTTTGTCAACTTGACTGAACTAATGGTTGCCCAGACAGCCAGGAATACATTTTTTCTGAGTGTGTGTCTATGAGGGTGTTTCCAGAAGAGATTAGCATTTAAATTGGCAGACTGAGTAAAGAAGATGCCCTCATCAATGTGGGTAGGCATCATCTAATCCATTGAGGGCCTAAATAAAATTAAAAGGTGGGCAAGAGGCAAATTTCCTATCTCTACTTGACCTGAGACATTCATCTTCTCCTGCCCTTGGACATCAGCATTCCTGATTCTCAGGCTTTTGAACAGGACTGGGATTTATACTGGACTGGGGCTTACACCATTGGCTGCCCTGGTTCTCAAGACTTCGGGTTTAGACGGGACCTACATCTCCAGCATTTCTGGGCCTACAGCTTACAGATAGTACATGGTGGGACTTTTCAGCATCCATAATCACCCAAGGCAATCCTGCACAATAAATCTCTTTTTATATCTCTCTCTTTCTGACTCTCTCATTCTCTCTCTCTTGCTCTGTCTCTCCATATACATATATATATATACACACACACATATATATGCACACACACACATACACACACACACACACACACACATATATATATATATATATATATATATGCATATTCTATTGGTTCTTTTTCTCTGGAAAACTCTAATATAGCATGTGTATAAGATATATATGTGCATGAAATTATACATATATTCTGTTATATTCTGTATCTGTTATGGTAAGAGCTAAATTTCTGTAGCAGAGAGACACCAAACACAGTAGCTTAAATAAAATAGAAGTTTTTGTTCTTTATTTCTAAGAGTTTCAAGGTGGGTGGTCGATGAGGCCAGTCTGTTCCACAAAGTAATTCATAAAATTTGTCACAGAAAAAGTAATTTCATCTTCTTGGATTCCTGCCCACTAGGGTGTTGCATTGTTGAACCTGGATCATCCTTGTCCTAGTTTTAGTTAATATTAGAAAGGAAATGGAAAATACAAGTGACAATGCTCTTTTTTCAATTGCAATGCCTAGAAGTGCCACTCATCTCTCCATTAACTTAGTTACGGAACATGGTCACATGGCCATATCTACCTGCAAAGGAAGCTGGGATGTGTAGACTCTAATGCAGTGACCATATGCTCAGGTAAGCTTATATTACCACAAAAGGAGGTGAAAATGGTTAGCAGGAGAAGTGTAGCAATTTTGCTCCCTTTACTGCACACAATGATGTAAAATAAGACAGCAAAATCCAAAAGGTAATAATAATAACGATATAAAAAAAGAACCTGAGTGCTCCATGGTGGTGTTTCTCAACCAGGATGATTTGTCTCCCAAGGGAACATTTGACAATGTCTAGAGATATTTTTGGTTGTTACAACTGAGACCGAGTTTTAACTGGTACCTAGTACACAAAGGCCAAAGATGCTGTTGGTCATTTTACGGTACACACAAAGACAGCCTCCACCACAAAAGATTAGCTGGCTTAAAATGTCAATAATGTAAAGTTGAGAAAGTCTACTTCATGTAATATTTTTTATATTTTTAAAATACTGTATGTCATTTGGAACATTAAAGTTGTGTGAGGACAACATATTAGAGATATTCATATTTGTTTTGTTGGCTTACCTTTGTCACACTTGCTTGACTTTAAGCAACTTAATATTAGAAATCTTGTTTTGTTCTTGTTTTGATTATAGACACCAGGTATATTAGCTCATGTGTTTGAATAAATAATAATGAGCATGAAGCATCTTTTCTATGCATTTTCCAGACTGTGCTGATGGCTACAAATACATGGACCCTGTTCCCAAAATCCTTGTCATTGTTGTTATTTCTCCCTCCTTATCCTTCCCTGGTATCAGTCATGTCACTGCTCACTTCTCTCACATTTTGCAGAGACGTCTACACTAGAAGATTGCCTTCAACATTGCAGCCACATCACTTGGAAAGTCCAAGTTAAGGACATGTAGTCACACCCATCATGTTAAGAAGTGCCTTCCCTCAAATGTTTCCTGTGGAACAGTAAGCAAGCCAAAGCAGGAAGCAGCTCTAAATCATTAACTTCTGAACAACTCAGCTCAGATGGAAACAGAATTAAGATTTACAGGACCATAAAGGAGGTGGTTGTTATTTAACTATTCAAAATGGGAAATGAAAGAAAATCCCAGGCTTTATAAGATCCTATGGCATAACCAGTATACTCCAAAAGCTAAGAAGAATGAAGGAGGGAAATGAGTATTTGATGAATTTTCACATGAACTTTTGACCTTCCCAAGGGTGGCAAAGTTGCTTTTCTATCTGGTCTCCCAAGCAATTTCTAATTTTTTCTTTGTCTTCTCTTTCTCTCTCCATCTCTGTCTTTGTCTGTCTGTCTGTCTGTCTCTGTCTCTCTCTTTTTCTTTCTCTCTTTCCCCCTTCCTCCCACTCTCCCTCTCCCCCTTTTCCCTTCATCTCTCACTTTTCAAATTGTTCCAGCTTTCATCTCGAGGGCATCAATTCAAAGTTGCTTCTATGTGACCTAGTGACCTTTTTGGAAACTTAATCTACGTCAGAGATCATAAAATATGAAGACTCAGCTCTGTTAATCTTCATATGTCCTCTAGCTTGCAAAGAAACAAAGTTTGAGTTTTCAGCATTGCCTCAGTGTTCTCCACTGGGGGAAAAAATATTATGATCATTATCAACCCCAGCATAAGGAATCACATGAAAGGCAACATTGTGCATGGAGCTTATTGAATTGCAAACAACTTTCTCAGAAATCAAGGCCGCCCCCTGATGCAAATCAGATGCTTACATAATGCTATTTCCTTGGAGGGTGACAAAGGACTGATGGGATTTAGATGCCCCTTTGTGAAGTGGTGAAGGTTTTCTGTCTTTTTGCTTGAAGCAGAACATTTTGACATATTAACTGGATCAGCACAAAATGTATCTAAAGCTATTGAATGCACCTATTTTTCTTGATAGAATTTATACCAAACCTCTTTCCATGGGATCTGAAGCAGCTAGAAGCTACAATGATGTTCCTGCCCTTTTTCCCCCCTCCCTCTTCTCTGACTCTCCATATCCCTTCCAACCCTTTCCATAATCCTTAGATATGCATATTTGAAAAAACAGTGCTGGTCACAGCATGAATAAAAAAAATCCATCTCTTTCTCACTGGATTTTATAATTTAGCATCATGTCATAATACCAATTGTACATACATGCACTACAGTGTTTTTTTTGTTTGTTTGTTTTTTACAGATGGCGCACTGAATTAGGACCAGTGATCCAGCAAGTCATTTTGGATAAAGCCACATTCTAGTTTGACATGTGCTATGCATCACCATACATCCTTAAGAAAAATGCTTGCTGTGTTTACACGTGTCTTCCCAGCAGCTGATTTCTGAATATAGGCACTGATGCATGGCATGTATTAGAGATTGGAATATACCTCCTACTGTGCAAGCCAAATGAAGCTAAGTGTATTTCCTACAAGATTACCCTGCCTTCCTTTCTTTTCTCCTTTTATCTTTTCTCTGCTGTCTCCTTCCTATTCTCTTCCTTTTCTGCCCCACCATTCATTCCCTTAATATTTTCCTCTTTTAATCATATTTCCCCCTTTCTATTAGTCTAGAGACTCCTTGAGAATAGCATTATAGCTTAGTCTTATATCTTAGACTTCAATGTCTGACTATAAAAGAGTGTCAGTAAACGCTTATTAAATAAACTATTGATGCTATATTTCTAATAGTTAAATGCATATTCATCTAAGATGATGGCACAATTCTGATGCATAGTAATTTTGTCTTTGTCATTGTTATTACTATCACCACTTCTGTCATCCTCAGCATAACCATTGCTGTCTAGACCAAGAGTGTTACAGTTATTATTTCCTTTATTCTATAGTGACTTTGTTAGTGCCCTCATCTATAAGATAAGAGTATTAATAGTACCTTCTCCGTATGCTTCTTATATGGACTAAAATGGAATGACATGCAAAAAGTGTCCAGTGTATTGCCTGAATACTAAATAGTCTATAAATGCTAGTTATTGATATAACACTTACCATTTTAATCCCAATCTTACAGTTGAAGAAATAGGAACAGAGAGGTTAGGTAGTTTGTTAAAAGTCACTCAGCTGGGAAGTGACAGAAACTGGAAGTGAACTCTCAATTCTAGTTTCATAGATCAAGCCCACGCTAACACTGTCTTTCCATTATTGAGTGTTTCTAAAGTTCTTGACAAGAGTAGCAATTATAAGTAAAATGAATAACTGTGGCAGGTTTAGAGAGAAATCTTTTTCTAAAAAACAAAAGGTAGGGGAAGAGGTTGAATAAAATTCTAAAATAAAATACATAGTTTCAAAAGGTTTTACTTTTACCATTAAAGTCTTCTTTATCATAGGTTGAGAGGACAGTGCAATTATACTTATGTCAGAAATGTATCTATGAAGTTGCTCTATCTGCTAAAGCAATAATATTCCATCTTTATAATTTTGTACTTTGAAGTCAACCATAAAGTTTTGAATAATTGGTGAATATCATTTCTATGGTAATGTCTAAACAATGAAATATGTTCTAAAGAAGAAAATAGCCTGCCTTTATCCCCCTTTTTTTTTTCTTTTTTACTTTGATAGCTTCTGAATTTGCTTACCTTTTCTTGGGGTTAATGGTGAAATTTTATTTTGTCACAGAGACAAAATATATAGATGATTATAGGTTAAAGTAAATATTTATGGATTTAATAAATATTTATATGGTGAAGGAGGAAGTTACATTTTTAAAATTGTAATGAGAAGCACTTTGTTTAGAAGGTAAAGAGAGTTCACAGAAGATGAATAGAAATGAGTTAAATAACTACTATTGGGAATTGTTAATTCCTTCTTATGAATAGAACATTTCTGATAGACCATATTTTACTGAGTTTTATAGCATTGTTTATAAGATACACATTGTTTGCTATTAGATAAGCAAGAAAAATATTCAGCCAATCAAATGACAATGCTTTCTTATCACTTAGACTTTTTAACTTCAAATTCTAAAAGACCTCTTTTAGACATATTTAAACATATATTTTGATAATATTTGTCTTGTGTCTACATAAAAATAAAAGATCCATTAAGTATTGTTTAAGGTATTTTTACAATGTCTTTCTATTCAGAATCCTAGTCTTCTATATCACTTTCTAAGTCAGGGTCATGGATGCCTATGTTTTCCCTTCTGATATTGTCCTTTGTACTAAAAGAATAGTGGCAATGTGGTGTTTCTCAGGAGAGTACATATAGTAAATTAAAGTTATTGATGCTGGAGAACCTACTGAACAATGAATTATATTAAAAAAAAGAGAGATTAAGAAAACATTTCATTACAATAGCACTGAAAAAAAATATTTAGTAATAAATGTAACCAAGAAGGTAAGAGATATTTTCATTGAAAAATATAAAATATTAACGAAATAAATTAAAGAAGGCACAAATAAAGAAAGATGTCCATGAGATTCGATTGGAAGAATTACTATTGTTAAAATGTCAATAGTACCCAAAGAGATCTGCAGATTCAATGCAATCTCTATCAAAATACTCAGGGCATTTTTCAAAAAATAGGAAAAACAATGCAAAAATTTGTATGACACCATAAAAGACCCTGAAGAACCAAAGCAATATTGATAAAGAACAAAGCTGGAGGCATCACACTTCCTAATTTCAAATAGTATTATAAAGCTATAGTAATAGAAACAGTATGGGACTAGCATAAAAATAGATACATGACCTATTCTAGGTGAATGGAACAGACTAGACAGTCCATAAATAAATCCAAGAATACACAGTTAACTTATGTTTGACAAGGGTGACATGAATACACAATGGGGAAAGGATAATCTCTTCAATAAATGGTATGAGGAAAACTAGATGTCTACATGCAAAAAAATAATGGGCCTTTATTTTACCCCATACACAAAAATAAACTCAAAATGGATTAAAGACTTAAACATAAGACCTGAAACCATGAAACTCCTTGAAGAAAACAGGGTAAAAGTTCTTGACATTGGTCTTGGCAATACTTTTTTGACTATGACCCCAAAACCACAAGCAACAAAAGCAAAGATAAACAAGTGGGACTACATCAAAGTAAAAGGCTTCTGCACAGCAAAGGAAATAATCAACACAATGAATAAACTACAGAATGGGAAAAATATTTATAAGCCATATATCTGATCTGATAAGAGGTTAATATTCAAAATATATAAGAAACTCATACAGCTCAATACCATAGTGACTACAGTCAATAATACTGTATTGTCAACTTGAAATTTTCTACGAGAGCAGATTTTAAGTGTTCTTACCATACACACACACACACACACACACACACACACACACACACACACACGATTGGCACCTATGTGAGGTAATGGATGTATTAAACTTAACTGTGGTAGTCATTTCACAATGTGTATGTATGTGAAATCATCATGTTCTATGTCTTAAATATATACAAATTTGTAGATTTTACCTCAATAAAATTGGCAAAATAAAAAGAAATGTCAGAAGCCAATACACTGTCTTCACTTTAAAAACTACAAAAAGAAGAGAAAATTATAACCAAAGAAATCAGAAGGAAGAAAGTAAAAAAGAGCAAAAATTAATAAAATTGAAAACAACAAAAAAGAATGAAATCAATGAATCTAAAAAATGGTTTGTTCAGAAGTTCAAATTGAAATAACCTCAAAGTAATGAAGAATAAAAGAAAATAAACTAATTACCAATATAGAGACTAAAAGGAAGCTATAACTACACATCTTACAGATATTATAAGGATAAAAGCAGAATATTGTGAAACCTTGGACAATACATTTGAAAACCTAAAAGAAATGGATAAATTCCTGCTAATGACAAACTACTGAATTTCATTAAATCCCATAAAAATGGGCAAATGTTCTGAACAAAAACTTCACACACACATTAAATATAGATATCAAGTAAGCACTTGAATGAATGATTAGCATTATTAATCACTAGGAAAATTCAGTTTAAACCACAATGACATGTCACTACATACCTACTATGTTGGCTAAACTTACAAAAAAAATTACTGGTGAGGGTTGCAATGCGTCTGCTACTCCCATAAACTGTCAGAGTGGGAATGGAAAATGGTGTAGTCACTTTAGAAAACAGTTTGACAGTGTAGAACTAAGCATATACTTGACATAGGAACCCACCAGTCCTCTCCAAGACATTTTCACTAGAATGTTGAACACATAACTCCACACAAAGAGCTGTATGTAAATATCTGTAACAATTCACATAGATTGATTCACAATCACCAAACACTGGAAACAATTCAAATTCCATCAACTGGTAAATGGACACAAATTGTGATACATCCATAAAACAGAATACTACTAAGCAAAAAAGAAACAAACTAATGGTACATCAACAACATAATATTCTTAGCATAAAGCTAAGTGAAAGAAGGCTATGTTTCTATTTATATGAAAATTTGGAAAACACAAAATTATAGCAACAAAAATCAAATCAGTGGTTTTCAGGTACTGAGAGTAGGTAAACATAACATTAGTACAAAGATCCACAAGATAACTTTTTAGGGTTATGGAAATATTATATGAATTGAAGTTATGATCACACATAGTATACATTTGTCAAATTCGACAAACTACACGACTAAAGCAGGTAATTTTTCCTGTGCGTAAATTATGTCTTGAGTAACAATAATGGAAAAAAAAACTAAACAAAAAAGAAAAAGGAACATGGTAATATTAGTGTGCATGTCTATATAGATTAGTAGCAACTAGTAGAAACATTTGGGAAGTAATTTAGTAATATATGTTCATATCCAGAGCTTTAAATATGGTCATATATTTTATACAAGCATCTCTATTATAACACCAAAAATAAAATAATCTAAAATAAAAGAAATATTGTACTCATGAAAATGTTTATTACAGATTTATTTAGAATAGTGAAACAAAGAAGTAACCTTAAGGTCTAACAATGTGTGGAAGATCAAATAAGATTTGGAGCAAGATCTTGATTAGACTATATTTAATTTTTATTTATTTCAAAGTATTACAGTGTAAAAATAATTTTGGTTACCAGAATCACTTTTGTAATGCCTGAGTCATGGTTATAAGAGTGCCTGACACCAAAATATTGTTCATTGTACTGGTTAGGTAGGTTTTCACCCGTCCCCTCTTCCTCCCTACTACCTGGTTGATTTCTGTTGCATTATACATCCCTTTCTGCACATGTGTGCTCAACAGTTCCAATTTAGTAGTGAGTACATTGGTGTTTGTTT